GGTGTTTGTACCCTGGGGTCTGGGGCGGGAAGACTCTTGAGTGCCACTCAGTTCCCCTCACCACCTCAGAAGCCCGACAGGCCCCAGTCCCCCAGGATCAGGAATGTGTACAGTATGACACTCTGGAGAATACACTGATGTGGCACTGGCCGGGGTGTGGGGCACTCACTGGTGTGGGTCCCTGCACCGCCACCTGTTCTCATGGTGCTCGTAAACGTGGATCGTAGGTGCTACACAGTCCATCGTAAACTTGGTGTTATCCACCTGAGGACAGGGCAGAGGACACGAGAGTGAGTCACAGGAACCTCTGCGGAGCTCTGAATGCAGTAAGGCCAACCATCGCCCAAGGCAGGAGCCCTTCCTTCCTGCCACGCAGAATCACTCCACAACAGCTAGACCCGAGACAAACTGTTTTTTTTTTAAATTGAGACAGAGTCTCACTTTGTCATCCTCAGTAGAGTGCCATGGCATCATAGCTTACAGCAACCTCCAACTCTTCAGGTTCAAGTGATTCTCTTGCCTCAGCCTCCCTAGCAGCTGGGACTATAGGTGCCCACCACAATGTCTAGCTATTTTTTTTGGGGGGGGATTTGTTTAGCAGGCCCGGGCTGGGTTTGAACCCACGGCCCTGGTGCATGTGGCCAGCACACTAAACACTAAGCTACGGGCGCCCAACCCAAATTGTCTATTTTGCAGGAAAATAATTAAGTCCTTCATTGATTTTTTCTCTTTCAGTCAGAATCTCAAGCTGTCACCCTGGGTAGAGTGCCGTAGCTCACAGCAACTTTAGACTCTTGGGCTTAAGAGATTCTCTTGCCTCAGCCTCCCAAGTAGCTGGGACCACAGGTGCCCACCACAACGCCCAGCTATTTTTTTTGTTGCAGTTGCCATTGTTGTAGTAACTGGCCTGGGCCAGGTTCGAACCTGGAAGCCCCTGTGTATGTGGCTGGCGCCCTACCCACTGAGCTATGGACGCCGCCCTTCATTGTCTTTTTTCATAAAAGCAGAGCCTTCCCACCTTACTTCTTCCTGAACTCTGAGAATTGTCTGAATCAAGATTGTTTAACAAGGCTTTCGATGTCATCTGTCTGCACATCGACCTGCCCCTTCCCTGCATCCCTGGAGGCTATGCTGGCTGTAACCAGTAGTCCTCACACTGGAGTGTGTGTCAGGATCACCTTGAAGGCATGTCACACACTGCCGGCCGCACTCCCAGTTTCTGATTCAGCGGGGTCTGGGAACTGGCAACTAATTTTTTTTTTGAGGCAGGGTCTTACCCTGTTGCCCAGGAGGGAGTGCAGTGGCACAATCACAGCTCACTGCAACCTCACTCCTTGGGCTCAAGCAACTCTCCCACTTCAGCCCTAAGTAGCTGGACTGCAGCCTGTACCACCACACCCGGCTAACAAATTTAAGTTTTAGAGATGGGGGTCTCACTATGTTGCCCAGGCTGATCTCAAATCGCTGGCCTTGAACATTTTCCTGTCTTGGCCTCCCAAAGTGCTTGGAGTACAGGCATGAGCTAGTGTGCCCGGCTCAGAACTGGCATTTTTTTTTTTTTGAGACAGAGCCTCAAGCTGTCGTCCTGGGTAGAGTGCCATGGCATTACAGCTCACAGCAACCTCCAACTCCTGGGCTCAAGCAATTCTCTTGCCTCTGCCTCCCGAGTAGCTAGGACTACAGGCACCCACCACAACGCCTGGCTGTTTTTTGGTTGCAGCCATCATTGTTGTTTTGGCGGTCCTGGACTGGATTCAAACCTGCCAGCTCAGGTGTATGTGGCTGGCACCTTAGCCGCTTGAGCCACAGGAGCCAGAACTGGCATTTCTAGTAAGTTCCAAGCTACTGCTGCTGCTGTGGGCACGGAGGCCTCACTCCGAGGACCATGAACTCGAGAGATCACCCCTCTCTGCACATCCTTGTGCTGTGACTGTAGCAGTTCACAACCCACAGCCAGCCCACAACTTCAAGTGTGTAGGGAGAATGCTGGAAGAGGGGACAATGGTCCACTGGAGACAAATCAGTCAAAGTATCCACAGAAAGGAAACTGCACAGCAAAGTGCCCGGACAGCAAGAGAAAGCAGCCACCCTGTGTGCAGCGCCAGAGCGTCTTACCATGATGAGAGCCGTGTCGCTGAAGCCCTCGGCGATTCTGGAGGCCACCTTCTCTGCAACCTGGTTGGGACTGCCAGAGGAGAACTGGTAAGTGCTACCGTGCTCTAGGTAGTGCTCTCAACACGTCTACGTGAGGCACAGTTAACACACCAAGAACTGACAGAGACCCACAGGGCCAAAACGCCGTGTGTGCTTGTGTCTCCTCTTTCAAAGGGCTCTTGGTGGCTGTAGCCCCACAATGACGACTGGTGCGCACAGCAAATGCCATCTGGCAGTGTGGTGCAACACCCACAGCAGGTCCCTGCCTCAATCCAGCCAGCAGGCCCCCATAGAGGGGACCTTGAGAGGGCATCTCCTAAACAGGAAGGCTCCCTGGAACCCAGCGGAGAGTCTCGTGGGTGTTCAGATAACCGGCACCTCTGAGTGCTCGCCAGCCCCTGGGCCGGGCTGCAGGTAGGTCTCCGTACCACCCATCTCCATCTGCACTACTGCACCAAGTCACAGCAGCCTTACAGCTTTGAGTCAGCTTTTCTTTTTTAACAAAATTTTTAAACTCCTAAGTCTCCTCACATCTTCTGTGTCTGTAAGGCTCTGCCTCTGCTGCCACCCCGGCCTTAAGGAATGACCCTTCTATCGTCAACAGAGCTCATTACAGAGGCGCCTACACCCCTCCTGCTCTCATCTCCCATACTGTGCCGGGAGGGCCTTCCATCTCTTCTTTCTCTACAAGCCAAGTCTGCCTTCAAATCTGTATGCATCTTTGCATTCAGGGAAAGAGAAAAGGGTGTTGAACTCGTTCCTTCTCCTCTGCCCAACCTTCCTCTTCCCCTCCAACCCCATTTCTTAAACTTCTTTAATAAGCTTCATTCTGGCTCCACATGCCTATCACAGCTTTGTGCAACTTGCCACCCACCCCCTCCTCTCCACGAGTCACCACCCAGACTTCTGCCGACCACTGCCTAGTGGTCTAGTGCCTGCCACCCCCTCAAAGGTTCCTAGCCGCAGTCCATCCTGTGCAGGCCCATTTCTAGTTTCTCTGACTGGAGGCTGCCTTCTCTGCTCTGCTCTTCCTTCCTCACCAGCTGCTGGAGGGTCTTTCCTTGTGCTGGGCCCTTTCACCCTCCTTGCACTTGTTTTGCTCGGGAGGCTTAGGGATGGGTTGCTGAAATCACTTCCTGATTGGAAGATTAGCCACTATATCCCGAAAACTCTCCTCAGGTCAATTCTCCTAAAATGGAACTTCCATCATATCCCCTGTTGCTCATAAACCCCCCTTCTCCACTCAACACTGCCTGTCATATGAGGCCTGCCATCTTGGGTTTTTTTTCTTTATGAGGTAGGTTCTCATCTGTTGCCCAGGCTAGGGTGCCAAGGTATCAGCCTAGCTCACAGCAACCTCAGACTGCTGGGCTCAACCTCGAGACTCCTGCCTCAGTCTCCTGAGTAGCTGGGACTATAGGTGGCCACCACAATGCCTGGCTAATTTTTCTATTTTTAGTACAGACAGTGTCTTGCTGTTGCTCAGGCTAATCTAGAACTGAGTGCAAGTGATCCACCTGCCTCAGCCTCCCAGAGTGCTGGGATTATAGGTGTGAGCCTCTGTACCTGGCCATGCCAGGCCTTTCTCACAGTGGACCTAGCTGCCTTTCCAATTCACAGAGCCAATGTTCTGTGTCTGTCTTTTTTTTTTTGGCTGGGCTGGGTTTGAACCCACCACCTCCGGCATATGCCGGAGGCCTACCCTCCAGCGCCCTACCCTTTTGAGCCACAGACGCCACCCTGTTCTGTGTCTTTCAATTCAGCAAAACTGTCTACCTATGTGCTATCTCTCTCACATACCCTTCCAGTTTGATTCACACTGTGCTCTGTTTGACCTTCCAGGCCAAGCTCTAAAGTGCTCTTTAACACAGAATCCTCAGCATGGAGCTTTCTTTTTGTGCATCTTATTTTCCTATATAATCAGAAGTTCAGCTTTTTGAGCAGAAAGTGAGCCATATATACTACTACTTTTTTTTTTTTGAGTCTCACTATGTCACTCTGAGTAGAGTGCTGTTGCATCACAGCTCACAGCAACCTCCAACTCTTGGGCTTAAGCGATTCTCTTCCTACTCCCAAGTAGCTGGGATGACAGGTGCCCGCCACAATACCTGGCTATTTTTTTGTTGCAGTTGTTTAGTTGGCCCGGGCCAGGCTTGAACCTGCCACCCTTGGTATATGTGGCTGGCACCGTAACCACTGTGCTATGTGAGCGTCGAGCCGCTATATATACTTCTTAATAGGCATAAAAAGACACTGATTATTGAGAACTTATTTAAATAAATACTGTATATAATTACAGTTCTTCCCTTGTGATTGGTCTGAAAAAAGCAGATTAATAATCTGGCACCACGGGTCACACCTGTAATCTCAGCCCTCTGGGAGGCCAAGGCAGGTGCATTACTTGAGCTAAGGAGTTCTAGACTGGCCTGAGTAAGAGTGAGACCCAGTCTCTATTAAAAAATAAAAAAATTAGTCAGATGTTGTGGAGTAGTCCCAGTTACTTGGAAGGCTGAGACAGGAGGACTACCTGAGCCCCGGAGTTTGAGGCTGCTGTGAGCTATGACCCCATGATACTCTACTTGGGGCGACACTGTGAGACTCTGTTGCAAATAAATGAACAAACAAAAGAAAAAAAAAAAGAAAATAGAAGAAGTTAATATGATCCTAGGTCAAACTGAAGGTGGCACTTCACTGAGCTGACCAGGAATTTGCGAATGCCAAGTCCCCAGAGCTCCAACAGCAGATGGTGAAAAGGAGGAAGTGGGCCCTGGGAGGAGGCCTGTCCATCTACCCTGCACCCCACTCCTGCATGACTTTACCAGACACACGATCACTCCTGTATCTTTACTGGTCCCAATTCTCTCAATCCTTAGGTGCAGAGAGAAGGGAAATGGCACCCACAAAGTACTCCATCTTCCAGGGACTTGTAAGGGAAAAGGCAGAGCCTCTTTTTTTTTTTTTTGAGACAGAGCCTCAAGCTGTCCCCCTGGGCAGAGTG